TATCTCGGTTATTTCGCCACTAGTAACATAGTTAGTCCACTTTTAAAATAATCCAAAATGATAGAACTTTTTGCGCTCTACAATTTGGTAATAAAATGTCCCATGAAAAAAGGTGAGGAGTATGGCACCTTGGTTACATACAGAGCTAGATGTGTGGCGAACAATCCGTTACGAAATGATTGATTCTTTTTTGATAGTGCATCAAGTGGGGTGCTGTCTCTGGATTTGTTCAATAGACCGATGAATAAGTGATAAGTGTGAAGGAATAAAGTAGACAATGTAAAAGCACAATATTTATATATCTCTTCGTATACAACGCATCCGAGCTAACATGAATGGAAGGAAAAGAGAAATCAAAGTCTGATGTAGTGACGTTTGACATCGGAATTATCCCTTAGCATTATCTATGTCTATTGGAACTTTCCTATATTGTCATTCTTTCTATTATTATTCACGTGGTTTATTCTCTTTCTTTTCTTGGTATGTTCCAACCACTACATATATATATATATACGATCGTTCCTTTCATCGTATGTGTGAGTTGTTCTTGTCCATCTCTTTTGTTCGCTCTATTCTGTTAGTCATCATTCATTCTGTGACTTGTTATTTTACTGTTTCTACGTATTAAAGAATCTCAATATATTCGTATTTCGTTTCTCCTTTCATCGAACCACATGACCTGACACAAAGAAAGAAAATTGTCCAGGGATCAAGTAAGTAGTAAGCACGATGTTCATAGAGAGAAAGACGAATGCGCGAGAAGTAGTTATTCGTGTGAGAGATTATTTCTTTCTTTTAGTTGTGCTATACTATGCGCTAGCTTATTTGACTGAAACATTTTGGTGAAATGTCCGATCGTTGCCGTGCTTGTGGAACTCGTTTGGATCGTTCAACTGCTGTTAGATCGTTGAGATCTCCTTGTTTTCGGATGTTGATGTCTATTTGCACGATGAAATGCCTTACAAGCGAGACAAAAGTGTGCAATATGTGTCGTCACTTGTACAGTAAATGGAGAAAAGAAAATCCGGAATTTGGCTATATTTTTGACCGCTGCGAAAATGAAGTATCCGATATTGAAGGAAGCGACACGAATTCGGTAAATACAAGTTGGAACTTTTAATGTTGACAATCATGACTTCATTTATTAGACTGATGCGATAGATGCGCAGGTGACCAGCAGTTAGTCTCAAACAAGCGGTCGGGATTCAGATTCTCACTCAATGGCCACAATAAGAACAATTAGTTTGCAGATGAATTCGACTCGATCATCTCACGCGTGAGGAAAACAGAGCGGCTTATTTAAAACTGTATTCGAATCTCACTTTAGGACCTGCTGTGTATGTGAATGTGATATGGATGGTGCCGCGAAGGTTGTTTCTTCAGACGATCGAGACTTTGTGCTGTTAACACGAAATAAACTCAACGTGTGTGTGAGTCAACTCACAAACATGTCAAGTCTTCTCATTCAACATTCTAGGATCAAATTATATAGATCTCAAAAAACCCTATTATTGTGCCTTAACCTAAACTTGCACCAAAACGTTTCTCGTCATAAAATAGGCCAAAAATGGTCAGAAATCTCCCTTTTTTGCCCGTATGTGACCAACGCGACCCCTATACTCACTTTTTTCATCGGATATTTTAATACCAAATTGAGAGCGGAAAAGTTCTATCGTTTTGGATTATTTTAAAAGTGGACCACTATGTTACTAGTGGCGAAATAACCGAAACATGAAATAAAGTGATCAAAAAATCCGTATAATTATGGTGGTTGGAAATCGACCCCTGTGTATATCTGAGTGAATCAGATGAACCGGATTCGAACTATCCTGAGTTCAGGATGTTGAAAATGACCGTTTGAAATGAGAAAGAAGCCCTTCCATGAGGGGTCGATTTGTCCAGAAAACGACCCCCCTCCTTTGCTTATATCAAAGTCTCGCAAAAGTCATCACATGGGCGGCAACACTTGCCGATTCAGCGTTACTTCACCTGCGTATTGACTTTGTGTTGTTTTTCTTGTAAGTTGGAAAAGACCCACTGATAGCAGCCAACAAAGTGCGCTATTCTCCATTTTCTTATCAAGTATTTACTATGCAAGTGAAGGCCGCTATTCAAATATGCTGTGTGCAAGAATAGCGTCTTTCCGTGAAAAAAACCAACGCATATGTGCCAATCAACTTTTCGTCTCTTTATGGTGATGCCTCATGTAATAAAAATAGACATACTGTGTTATTGCCAAAAAATAAGACAAGGTTTCGTGGTGTTTTGTCCAGCGTTTTTGAATACATAAAATATTCATTGTAGACTTCTTGATCGATTGACGATCGAACAGCACAGAAATGAAATTTTTAAAAAGTTCGTTTTACCAAACTATGCGAATCTTTGCGAAGAACGCACAAGAGTATTAGACTCACGAGGGTACGTCCCCGGGTGTGGGTGTGGGGTATGTGGATGCGGGTGTGCATTTATGTAAAACCAACACCCACCCACACGCACACCCATACCCAGCCCCGCTAATTGCATCGTTGATTATCAGTTTTTTGCATTCGTTCTATTCTCTCTTTTACGTCTTTTTTTGTTTTGTCACACCATACAATGAAATGAAACTAAAAGTACAGTTTTTTTTGACGTCTTATGGTCTATCAGTACACCTACTCTGACAAACAATTGAAAATAAATTACGATAAGAGAAATAAAAGACGAAAAAGAAAAAATCTATTAGATGGTGTAATCAACAGTAGGACATATTGCATATAACTACCATCAGTTGCCACAAACCGTACTCAATTAATCTCATTAATCTAATTACCAAAGCTCGACTAGTAGAGCAAAGAAAGAAAACGCTGAATTTTTTGTTCAAAATTGATTTTGAGAAAAAAATCGAAATAAAGTTCAATTTTGCTTTTCTGAGGTATAGTCTTCTTTTAGGTTATCGTTCATAGCACATCTAATACACATATATAGAATTGTTTTGGACAAATTATCGATTAAAGATATGCTGATTTCGACAAGATCAAATGCAAAAGTGAAAAAAATCCTTGGAAAAACAATCGAAAGAAATTTATTGAGATAGTAGATCTCAAAAATCGATTTTTTCGAGCTCAAAATGCCATCAAAAAAGTTTTGTGTATGTGCAGATTGATAGAGAAAATTCCAAAGTATATTTTTAGCACTGAAAGACTCTAAATCGGAAAAAATTTTCAGCTAGAAAGCCAGGAAACGTTCTTAAACTAATTGACAATATGTTACTTTACATTTGTTATATCCATATTTCTACTCTAATTTATTGTTTAATTTATATCATTAAGGGTGTGGGTGTGGGTGTGGGGTATGGATGTGGGTGTAGGTGTAGGTGTGGGTGTGGGTATGGGTGTGAGTGTGTGGGTGTGGGTGAGTGTGGGTGTGGATGAATTGAAGATATGTAGTCACACCCACATCCACCCACACCCACACCCTCATTATTTATCTAACATTGAACTATATCGATTAAAACTGGAATCTGTTTCTACTTATCATCGGTGGTTTGTTTGATGTTATTGTATTATGTGAAACAGAATTAAAATATTTGTATGTTCAGAAAATGTATATACAATTGAGATGAAAAGAAAAAGTAAGCCTGCCAATAAGAAACTTCAAGAGTAGATTAAAAAGATTTGGCTTCATCTAAAATAAAACTTATGCTTTTTATTTGCGAAGTCGCATATGCGCATTCGAATCTCTGATGGAAAAAAAGATTTCATCTTAATATGATTGAGAAAGTTGTTGTAATACAGTTATAATCAGTCATTATAAAATGAGACAACAAAGAAAATCCAGTATTGTAACAGTTTCCCATCATCCTCGTCATCAATCACTTCATAAATCAGTGAGTTCTTTCATATTGGGTGATATTGTTTTCTTAATTATTAGAATTTAACATAAATATCGATCAATCAAAAAGAGAGGATCAAATACTGTCATTTATTTGACCATTGGATTATGGACAAGAATCCACTCTACGAACAACAACTTACATTCGGTCAGATTTTTTTAACAATTTGTTCTTTATAAGAATTCTTCTGTTTCGACAGATCTTAGATAATGAAAAAAAATTATCGAATACTCAAAATAAAGTACTTAGACATTGTGCTAGTATTGGACAAATATGTCGACAACATCATTCCCTTTCACAAGCAAGAAATCATTTTATAAGACGAACAACATATTTTTAATTGTCACTTTCTCTTCTTTCTTTATTATAGTCGAGTTCAAATATAAAGAAACGTAATAATTTGACAAAGAAATCATTATCACAAGCTAGTGGTTCCACGAAAACAAATTGTTTGTCAAGCACCAATACAGTGACTCCTCTTGAGGTGATTGTACAATCTCTGTTGTTAGAAATATATATTTTATAAAACTTTATCATAAATTCTTCTTTAGAATGTTATAGCTGGACACAACCAGGTAAAATGATTCTTTTTTTTCAACAAACTCACTTTGATAATTACAGCAAAGTAAAAATGACTTGTCAGATCGAAAAGGTATAACGAACGATTATCATCAAAAATCTAAACGAAACAAAAGGAATAAGTGAGTATTCTGTTACTGAGTGGGAGATGATAAACTTCTTCTGTTTCTCACATTGATTATAGATTTTCATGGCGATGTTTTATCGCAACTTTATTTGCAATTCTTCTACTTGTCTTAATCATTGTTGCCATTATACTCGCTCTTTTCATTAAATCTAAAACAGTAACAACGCCAAGTAAGATTGCTTTGCCCTTTTAGGTAAAAACACAATAGTGAAGTTTAACTCAAATAGCGAATAAAGTGACATTGATACTGACGTGATACAGTGTCGCTTCACTTAAATAAATTAGAAAAATATATGACATTCTTGTATTTTATCTTTCGAAGAAATCAACGATAACCGTCCGATGAGTGTTATGATTTCATAAATATTAATGATTTTTATTACTAAGCAAAATAATTTGTTTTATTTCACAGACATTATACCTATGCTTCGGTGGAACACAACAGGTATTACTGTAGCCGGAATTGTTGGTAATCCAGGAAATGCAAATAACCAACTTAATACTCCTTTTGATGTCATATTGGACTATGCCAATAATCTCTATATTGCTGATCGAGCAAATCATAGAATTCAAAAATATTCGTTAGGTGCTTCAATCGGCAAGACAGTGGCTGGAAACGGAACGATCGGTTCATCTCAGTATCAGCTATATAATCCATCACGGGTGATCATTGACTTAAATGGAAATTTCTATATATCCGATACATATAATCATCGAATTCAATTCTGGCGTAATGGTGCTGTTTCTGGAACAATAGTTGCTGGCATAACAGGTAAAAAAATAACGATAGATGTGTTCTCCTGAATCATCTTTCACGTTCTTTGGTATAAATCATTTTTTCTTTTGATGAACGGATTACTGATCCATGTCTATTGGTAATTGAGTATGATCGTAAAAGATGGCAAATTTAGTCTTACCTTTTCGTGATATGAAGATTATTTTTGAGTATATTCTTAGGTCCTTGTGGAAACGCTAACAATCAATTATGTACTCCTTACGGTATTGCTCCTCATCCAACATCAGGTACACTATATATATCGGATTATAGTAATCATCGAATAATGTCATACACATTCGGCGCTAATAATGGCACGTTGGTACTCTGTAGTAATGGGCCCGGAACAAATAATACTCAGTTATCTTCACCTGTAGGTTTACACTTTGATTCATTTTCAAATAGTCTTGTCATTACCAATTCTGCTGCTAATAATATTGTTCGACATATATCGGGTATGAGTGGTTGGACACTTGTTGCTGGTAATATCAATGGTTCGTCAGGTACAGCATCAACACGCCTTTTTTATCCTACTGACGTGACATTTGATCCAATGGGTAATATGTATGTTGCTGATTCATCTAACCATCGTATTCAATTTTTCTATGCCGATCACTTAAATGCCACAATCATAGCTGGAATGTCAGGTGTAGTTGGTAATAATGCAACCACACTCAATGGACCTCGATCTGTGAAACTTGACAGTCAACTTAATTTGTACGTGGTAGACACATTTAATTCTCGAATTCAAAAGTTTTTACGTTATTAATAATCCAGACTTGATTAATTCGATTTTTTGTTCAGCGGTTTTTTCTAATAAGTATCTCCTCTTTCTTTTCTAAGCAAACATATTAATGGCTAACACAGTGTTTTGAATTTACTAATAAAAACAAAATCAATTTATTTTAATCATATTCACTTGTCAATTAATTCAATGAAAGATAAAATTGTTCAACATTGACGGTAAAAGAGATGCGTCGCAAGATAATATATTATTAATAGATTGATAGAATGTATTGTCTCAATAATGAAAGATGTTATGTTAAGATGCAACTCAGTTAAAGTGACCTATCACTTCGTCGCACGACATCAGAGCTCGAAACGAGGCAAGTTTTTGTGGTATTGTCTCGACTCGCTTCGAATGCCTTTTACCTCGCTTCGGACAAGTCGTAATAACCACGATAGGGTACCAATTTCTCAATTTCTTCTATCCAAAACCGCATGGAAAATTAATATATTAACTTCTGGTCCGGCTTTATTTCCTACCAAGTCAACAATAGCTACCATTCATTTAGTAATTCAGAAAGTTGCAGCAAAAATAGCTTAACAGAGAAACCTTATAATAACCTGCAACTTTGTTAAGAGATTATCCACACCCACCCACACCCACACTCTCTGATTTCAACGGATTTTCTAGAAACGCCTTTGCAAATTTTGTAAGTTTTATTTGATTATAAGTGTTGTCTAAAAATCTTCATCACACACAAGGGAACTTATCTAAATGTATGAATATGTTCAATTCTTTCCAGTTCAGAATGACTTCAATCAGGATTTCGAGAGTTTTGCTCTAAACTAGACGACTGAATGATTATCGACAGTTAAAAGAAGAGAAAGCTCTTTCGTCTTTTTATGATCTACGCCGAAATGTTTGTGAGTGATTCTGTGCGCTTCTGAATAGTATCTTTTCGCCTCATTGAATTTGATCTGTTTTTCAGTAGACGCTTGATTTTCTTGTTGATTTTTCTGATGATTGTCCACTTCGGCTATTAGTTTCATACAAATATCACCCAAATTGACATAGACGTCACATATTTCGATATGATCTGTACCTAATGTGGCTAATAAAATCTCCAAAGCCTGTTTCATATGTGCGAAGCCTGTATTGTAGTCACCCATCATTGCATGAGTAAGACCAAGAGAATTAAGAAAAAGTCCATATTTATAGTGTTGTTCATTGAATTCTTTTTTGATAATCGCAAGTGCTCGGTCAAAATGAGCAATCGCTTGTTTATAATTCCCTAAAAGTGAAAGAATGGAATAATATGAAATTCTGGAAAGTGAATTCATTTCCTTTTTTCCCGTAACTAACCGAGTTCATGCTGAGCTTGTCCAATATTGTGAAGAATTTCAGCAGCCTCTGAATGTTCGGGACCAAGCGTTTTTTCGATTATTGTGAAGGCTCGACGATAGAGACGTAGAACATCGTCAGAATCATTTCTTTTTCGATGAAGTTCTGCTAGATTATTATAGTAGATTCCTAATTTATAATGTTCTTGATTCAGGCCGAACGTATTTTTGACAATTTTTATTGCTCTCTCATAGAGGGCTTCTGCTTCATCATAGTCACCTTTCTGTGCTAAGATAAGACCCATTGAGTTGAGTAGCTCAGCTACTTCAATATGTTTTGGTCCAAATGATTGTTGCAATGCCGTTAGCGCTTCATTATATATGACTTCAGCTGTTTTGTAATCACCTCGCTATAACACACAAATCAGTACAGGGATGGAGGTTTTATTCACGCAAATTGATCTCCTTTCATTAAGCCCCTCCCCCCCCCCCCCCTCTCCCTCAAAATTCTGTCTCAGGCTCAAGTAGGATGAAATCCTGTGAAATTTTCAGCATATGTTGGGGCTGTAGTGAGAATGCTATGGTAAAATTTTCAGTTCTATACCATGTAGTGTGAGGGAGATATACACCAAACAAGAATCAAAAGATAGCTCGTTTTGTCCGCAAGAATTCTCTGTGGATCCTCATTCAACATATATAATTTATTTTTGTTTGAAAGAGCATGTTAGGATGCAGGGTCAGTGAGGCTCCTTCTTTTTAAACTCTTATCTTTTAAGCGGAGAAAAGTGCTGACAAGTTCAATCGCTCGAAAAACTCAAAAAAATGGCGTTCAAATTATAAAAATACTTTTCAATATAATAATAACAATGTTTCATTCAAAAAAAGGAGCTTCAGAGGACTTGCAGTTTTTGACGCTTTTTCAAGCAAAAAAATATTTGACTTTATATAGCACTGTAGTTCAACTTTCTTGCAAATACGTTGTCAAAACTACCTTCCGAGAAAAGCGTAAAACAAGTTTTGGAAATGCCAAATGTCCCGAAACATGGTGTATTTTGTGAATATCTCTACACAGACAAATGATAAGCCTTTCTGTTTTTTAGAAGATCTACTGTGAAAAATTTTACAAACTCTGTAGGAATTAATCCCTCTTGACTTGTTCTAAGAATCTCTTCCATACTCAAAATAAAAAACATACATGATGTGTTAGTTTCTACTGTATTTAGCAGAATGTAAATACTTGAAAGATTTTCTCATTTTGCATGTATGTCACCTTGAGAAAATGAGAAAGTCTTTATTCTTCTCTATAAACAAATCGCTACCAACTTGACTACCCATGTCGTACAGAACGGCTCGTAAACTGCCTTAAACGACTTGAAAACGGTGAAAAACGGCTGTTGTTACGATGATCGTTTACGGTTTGCCGTAAAACGGAGAAATACGGCGATAAACGATGATCTTTACGGTGATCGTTTACGCACTAGCGGAAACGATTGTCGTTATGACCGTCGTTTTTTTGCCGTTTTCACACCGTTTTTTATCGTTTCAAAAAGTGTCCTAAAATCATCATTAGACACTTTCTAATGATCTATAATTGATTGGTCGTTACGTATTTAAAAAAAAATTATATTTTTTTTTATTCAGATTCTTTTCACCATCTAGTTCAACTGTAAGTATTGTATTTGAATAAGTATACTTATTTTTTATTTTTATTTAGATTTATCTCAATGAAATATTTAGTGGTATTGAATTGAAATAAATAAATATATTTTTTTTATTTAGATTTATCTTAATGAGATACAAAACAGTAAGTATTTTATTTAAATAAATACATGTATTTTTTTAATTAGGTATATTTCATCGATATGTTCAATAGTAAGTATTTTGCTTAAATATATTTATTTTTGTTTAGATTTATCACAACTAACTGTTTAACAGTAAGTATTTTATTTAAATAAATAAATTTATTACTTTTTTATTTAGATTTATCGCATTAATATATTCAATAGTAAGTGTTTTGTTTAAATGAGTATTTATTTTTTTTTCATTTAGATTTCTCTCATTGAAATATATAATAGTAAGTATTTCGTTTAAATAAATTTATTATTTTTATTTAGATTCATCGCAACGAAGTATTTAACAGTAAGTATTTCATTTAAATAAATAAATAATGTGTTTTTATTTAGGTTTATCTCATTACTATATTCAATGGTAAGTATTTTGTCTAAATAAGTATATTTTTTTTCATTTAGATTTCTCTCATTGAAGTATTCAACAGTAAGTATCGTACTTAAATAAATATATTTATTTTTTTTATTTAGACTTATCTCAATGAAATATATAGTAGTAAGTATTTTAGTTAAATAAATAAATAATGTTTGTTGTGTTTACGGAAGGTGAGGAGGGGACGAAATATTGTGCTCCTCTTCACTGAGGACAGACGGCAAAAGATATATCAAGTCATAAACGAGAAAAACCGGTGTAAATAAGACACTATAGGACGAGAATACTGCCATAATACTACTCATCGTTGCTCGCCGGAAACGGCCTTAAACGGCGTCGTTTACGTTCCGGGGAAAAACGGCCCTCAATCCGAGCTGACGGAAAGCGGTCAAAAAACGGTGAAAAACGGCGATCGTTTTTCATCGTTTAGGGCATTAATTACGTCGTTTTTTCACCGTTTTAGGCCTTTTAAGACGTCGTTTCAGACGACCTGAATGATGGACCTGGGTAATTGCTGTCTAAGGCGTTACGTCAGCTCGGCTGTGAGATTTTCTATCTTCGTATTTGTGTGCGCTTATCTATATTGATTCTTAGTGAACATACTTTATGGTATCGAATTATACATTTGTCTGAAATTTTGTTTTTTTGGATGAAATTCGACATTTTTTAGAAGAACTTAATACAACTTTTTTGTTGTCTATTAGTTAATTTCTTATTTTTTGTTGCATAAACTTTAGTTTACTACGAAGATTGATGAAACTTATTAAAATGTCTCTACGTTCCATTAAAGTTCTTATTTTCCATGCAAAAACCTCAAAATCCTTTTTTCCAGAAAAAACTTTTTTTAAGCAGTCGATGACAAAACAACCATTAAAAAGTTCGTCAAAAAAAGGATGCCCAATAAAAAAATTATAGTGTTTATGAAAGAGCACAACTTGGGCATCTTTTCATACATTTATCTCAATTTCGATATTTTTGACGAAAATTGACTTTTTTGAGGGGGAGAGGGGCCTTAAAATAAGTGAATTTTCAATCGATACTGAGGAGAGTCTCAATCAGTCGCCTTTATCTTATACAAACCAACAAGACAATTCAATAGTAAACTAGAATGAAGGAAATAATTGCGAGACCTCAATGCCTGAATTTAGTTTCAAGTGATTAGGAAATAGCATCATTCTGTAAGCTAAAATTGACGTGTATTAATATTCGGGTTACGCCAAAATAAATTGATTTAGTCTAAGAAAACCATGATGAAGTTTTCTCTACAAGTGCTAGTTGTATTCTCTGTGTGTAATATTTATGAGAGTATATGAGCGAATGTTGAACTCTGGCAGATCTCCTTCTCATTCGGTAAGTGACATGCGATAAAACACGAAAAACACTAAAATAATTTATTCGTATAGTCTAATATATCGTCACTATTACTATTTGTAGAAACATCTTAGATTCAATTGATCATTAAAGAAAAGACCACAAAAAAAAGACGTTCTCTGACAACCCTAGATGAAGTTCATAAAATGTTTATCGCTGAATTTTCTGAAGACATTCGATTATTTTATCGAACTTTCTCTAGAAGTCAACGTATAAAGTCCATTGACAATTTTCTTCATTCGTTGAAATAAAATTTTATATTTGATATTATGATAGAAAAAGATGCTGAGTATCTTGGGTCTAAATTCAGGTTTTTTCCAAATGGATCCCGTGATGTGTTATAGCGGACAACAAAATTGCTGTATCAAGATACATCTCTATGAACTTCATCGATTCTAGTAGTTGCTTTCGCTATCTAACCCTTTCATCGAGAAAAAGCCAAAATATCACCGAGATATGGATGAAAAAATAGAATTTTCTCGGAAAACTCGTCGTAATTTGGTCATTGACTATGCTGAAATCTGAAGATAGCTAACTAATTAAGAAATTGGCGAGCTGCATCGAATAAACACCTTTTTGGTTCATTTCGAAACTTGGATCCCGTCCAAATGGGATGATTCCAGTCCTAACTTCTCTCTCTCATATTGATCATTCATATGCTGATCGACAGGTAAGACAAAAGTTCAACCAGTTCGTTTATTTTCTCTACTAGGATAGAAGGGTGAAGAAATGCACGAATCTATTACTTTTCCGTTCTTTCTTCACACAGTTGGACGCTACACATGCTGAAACCTATTGGCCTCCTCTTTACATTCCATCCTATTGCATCATGGAAATGAATTAGTTAGATATTCTCGTTTTTCTCTCGATGAAGACGTGTGTGGTAACTATCGAACATAGGCGATCGCCAAAAAAAGAAAAGAGTTTTTTTTTATTTCTTTCTCGCTTTCATCTTTCTGAAAACGATCCATATTCACCAGTAAGTATTTTCATCGGTCCTCAGCATTCCTTCACCATCACGGGCACAATAAAAAGGACGCAAATCAAGTGATGTTGCAATCTTACTGTATTCTCATACTCATCCGTAGTCGTATCAATGAAACTGAAATATTGAAAGAATTGAAATTATTGAGGGAAGGAAAATCAAAATTTACAAAACTTTCTTTTCGCAGAAACTACTTATTAATCATTATTATTTTTAATACGTATTTCAAACACTTGAAAACCATTGATTGAACAACCCACGCATTGAGACTTGGATTGCGTTTTCAGATGGGGTTCAAATGTAGAAATAGATCGAAAGTTGTTCATTCGATAGAGTTGGCCGAGTTCTATCTAGGTATATTACTTAAGTTTTTGGTATGGCCAATTGGTGACAAGAGACGAGTCTTGCGGATAATCCAACATTAGATGCTGGATTCGCCCTTTCGAAACGGATTCAAGTAGCAAAATCAATAAAAAATGTGTCTATTGGATAGGGCTCATAGTAATCTATATTTGTAAAGGAATGTCGTATTTGAGTTTAATGCATCGGTACATCCATTCTGGTAACACGCGGATTAAAGCCAAAAATAAACTGAGCAAGAAAAAGGAATCATTCGTATTGCGATATTAAATGACTGACTACAGTTCTACTGTTAAAATTAATTTGTTCTTGAAATAGTGTAATATAGAATAACAAATGAATCGATGTCAAGCTTTGAAACTAATACAGTACTTAAAATATTAGAATTGGTAAAGATATCGAAGTAATCATGTTTTTGTCTCTCTTATATAATTATGCTTATACTGTGCTTTACAACTAATTCTGCTTCCTAATTTATGAACGTCGTATCTTCTGTTAAAAATAAAAGTTTTTGACTATTTACCACAATTAAAAACGTTTATTCACAGTGGGAATATCTGCTCATCAAAACTTTACAAAGAATAATATCTCTCAAAGTCTTTTCTATAGTTAAATTGTTTTGGGATGAAGATCATAATGAGTTTCTCAATCGATTTTTGATCATGGGTGCTTTCGAAATGTTAGAAATGAAAAAGTCGTTCTCCTCTTTTGATGAATTCTCCATGTATGTAGTTCATACATTCGAATAACTCTTTTATAATGCATACTTTTCGATAAATATCACCAATATTTCCCAAATACATTCCGATTGATTCATGCTTGCGACCATAGTAATGTTTAGATATCTTCAATGCTTGTTTGAAGCAATCCAAGGCCTCGGTATATTTTCCTTCTTTCTTCAAGAGAATGCCCAAATTTTTCACAACATCGGCAACTAAAGGATGATTATGACCATGTACTGATTCAAGTTGTTTTAGTGCTTTTATGTAGAGTTCATGAGATTCATTATAATTTCCTTTTTTCCGAAAGCTATCTAAATTTTGATGCAAATAAAACAAACTATTATGAACGGTTCTGAAACTTAAACTATAAAGCATGATATTACCCGCCAAATTAACAACAATTTCCGACCAAAGATCTGAATCTGGATCAGCAATTTCTAGTGCCTTCGTATAGGTCGAAATAGCTTGATCATACTTAAATTGAAAGCATTAATATATGAAATAAAAAATCGCAAGAACGTACATCAGAACATTTCTTGGCCAGAAGTCCAATTCCATTAAAAATTTCGGCTTTTTTCTGTGACCGATCATTATGTGGCAGAAGATTAAGCGCTCGAATAAATTTTTCTTTTGCTTCGGTAAATTGTGCTTTTTTAAGGTGAATTTGTGCTGAAGCTAAAAGCAGTTCGATTCGTTGGGCATTGGATTTCGCTTTTAAATAAACATCTGTATAAATTTGTAATGCTTTATCATAGTGACCATCGTCTTGTTCAATCCGTGCACTCAGAATCATGACATCGAATGTATTTTGTGTACCTTTAATCATTTTTAAACATTGTCTTGCTTCTTCATAAGTTTGTTGATCGTGAAAGGCTTTGGCTAAATCGTAAAATGCAGTGTCCTTTTCTTTCGTACGTATTTTCGCATCACTATACTCTCGTAATTTGAGTCGTAATTCGGACAATTTGCGTTCTCGTTCGGTCACTAAATTATCTGGTGAATATGGACAAGATTGTTTGTGTTGCGCCAAGTCACTTCGAGATACTTTAATTGAACAACCTTGTAATTTATAAGGGCAATTGAATTGAGTATTGTCGATAAAACGTTGAATGACAATATTTGTAAGTAATGTTTGTTCGGTCAATATTCTTGAACAACATCGAGGACAGCTAGAAGCAGACTGTGTAAGCCATGATTGGATGCAAGCGAAACAGAAGAGTTGATGGCAACAAGGAGTTTCTCGAACATCTGTGAGATAATCACAACATATGCAGCATTCAAGTAGAGTTTGAATTTCACTTGGTGTTGTAATCATGCTGTGTTTTTGTATTTGAAACGAATGAAACGAATTCTACTTACCAAATGATTGAAATTCGACACTTTCTAAGTAAGAAAAACAACATTACATTGATATATATATAGAAGATGATGACTCACTATGATGTCGTTTTGCCATACTGTGCAAACGAATCCTCCCTCAAAACACTATAAGAATATGAAAATCAAATAGAAAAACAACACACCTCGTGCTTTTTGTGTGCTTGTTGGTTGAATAAATATATTTTATGCTTTTTTTATTGATACTAAAGTAAAAACAACAGAACGGCAACAACATACATGACTTACAAAATATGAGTCATACACAAACAAAGAGCGTAACAGTATTTTATTTTGAAATTAGTTACATTCTAAATTAGTGAACTATCTTTCATTTTATCATATAGAGAAACGATAACTTGGATGACAGGATATACACCATCTTAATTTTTAGTAATGATGGATCGATTTGAGCTCGATACAGATGAACTGTAATATTATTCATGGCTATCAGGTTTCTATTATGAATAAGATCCTTGGTCGCTTTTAAAAATGTTATTAGGCGTTTTCCAAGGCTTTTGATTATGCAATATCCACTACTCGCTATTTCAAATATATCATTGAAGTATCATAAAATGGAAGTCGGTATTTCATATGCGATTGGAACATAATTTATGCTAGTTTCATAGTTAGGAACTTAGTGCTACTGAAAACTGTCTCGTACGACATTTCAGTACTGCATATTAAGCTTGGTAAAAGTGTCTATCAACAGAAAATGTTAGCGAAAGGACACTCGTTTTTCTGTGCTATTCGATCATAGTCTAATTGATACGATAACAATGAAACTCGAATGAGACTATTTAGCCTAGCATATGCGATAGTTATACAAATTCATGATTTATCCAATACCCTATCTTCCCTCTCATTTCTTTCAAGACCGTATTGTCTTCTGGTATGCTCAACCTACGGCAAATATCTCGTTTTCTGCATGCGCACTGTACAATTGTATTTTATACAAAGTGAAACCAATAAAATTAGACTGAGTCTTAATATCCTTCGTTTTTCTCTTTAGTGGACAAACAAAGTTTTCCTTTCTTATTTTCTTCCATCGAAAAAAATTTCGAAGTTGTATTGAAATTTTAATTTTGGAACAATGGCCCATTCCTTAGGATTTCGTTTTTGACTTGTTAAAAATTTTAATATTATTTTTTATTTGTTGTGATTCAAGAAAGTTTTCAAACTCATAATAGAAATGTAAATAAAGTGGAAATCTCCCTAACTTTAACTCGTGTACCGATTCCGACGGAGCTTCATCGTGATGAAAAATTGAATAAATTTCTAGATGATCATCGCCTTGGATGTGAGTGTAGGTGCGGGTGGGACTTGGATGTGAGTGCAAAAAGAAATGAAACACACCGACACCCACCCACCCACACCCCACACCTACCCACACTTCACACTCACACCCTGCTCTATTTCTTTGACAACATATATCTATCCAGCAGATCAAAAACAAATGGAAAGATTCAGATGTTATGTAAACACATGTGGACATGGGATGAATAATAGAAAAAAAGAATGAAGAAACAAAATATTAGAATGAATAATTGATATGCAGAAAGATGAACGATTTTGACGAGAAATATCATAAATCACATTAGATTACATACAGCTGATGTAGTAATTAATGAGTTGTTTTGTGTCAATGGTATGTAGATTTTGATTTCATCGAGAAAAGTAAGATAATCTTTTAAAGTAAGTGTCGCACGCTGTGATTTGTTAACATCTTCTTTCAACGATAAAAACATTCCTTGTTTATTCGCTTGACACATTGAATAAGCTTTGTTTAATAATTTTCCGTTCATTCCTTCAAGAACAGGTAGAAGAGCATCAAGTTCTTTGTCAAGAAGAAATGATTTGACATGGTCTTTAGTCCACAAATCAATACAATGTGGATATGTTCTACAAACAGACAACAAAAAACTGTTTAGTTTGACATCGTCCCCTCTTCAAGTATTGTTTTCTTATAAATTATGCTTTTGATTGCCGAAGAAAAGTGGAAGACAAAATAAACTTACTGATTAAATATGAAAAATCATAGCATGTCACTGTCTATAGAAGTCGTGGAGAATAGTGCCTCATGCACGCTGTCAAAACTCTCATAGTCAACATAAACTTACACAACTGGACGTGGTTCTTTCTTATTGTCGACGGTTAAAACTGTGTTCGGTATAACATCCACTATTGAACTAGGATTATGATGAACTTGTTCTTGATTGACAAGTCTTGAATTTGAATCATTCATTCTATATAAATCAATCTGTCGCTTAAGTTCTTGATAAGCTTTATCGAAACCAAGTTTTGGAAAATCAACATAAATAAGTGCTGAAGTTAATACTCCCAGCCATCCATCAGCTTTGTAATTAGCTGTCATAACTAATGGAATAATATGACAACGACGTTTAATTGCATAACTAGCTTCCATTTCACAGAAGGGACTTTGTTTGTAAGCATCTGACATACAGATAAGTACGAATTCTGCATTCTCAATAGCTTTGGCCATTGCATCAAATGTAGCACCATGCATTAATCGAGAATCTATCCAAACACGTAATTGATCTTTTTCGAGAAAATTTAGAATACGATGACAAAGTTCTCTATCATTATGTGAATAACTGATCATAATATCATATTGTTTCTTGACTATCGTCGTTGAAGACATTGAAGAAATTTGTTGTTGAACGATTTTGGCTGTGGTTTCTGATTCTTTTTCTAATTTCCATATCAATGCAGTAGCTACTAGTTGTAGTTCCTGTTGTGATGATGAAGTCAATGTTCGAATATGATTGACGAAAGTGATGTTGTCTTTGAGTTTAGCAGCAAAGTCTTTGTTGAAGGTCAATGCAAGAAGAATTTCAAGTGCAGGAAGTTTAGCTTTGAGGGGATGAAATTTATCTTCCAGAATACATCGAAGAAAAAGTGAATGACCTTCTTGTTTGATCAATTCTTCACGAATTTGATCATGCTGTGTTAATACTAAATGAAGAAGAAAAAAAGAAAACATTGTTTTCTCAATGTGTAAACTTTTGAGATAATTGAAGTGAAATTCATAAGGATACGCCTAGTTTTCAAGCTATATATTGCTTAAGCTATACAATTAATTTAATCATATTATAAAGGATAGTTTCTCTGAATCTTGTTTTCGCTACCTGTTTTCTAATGTTATGGTTAAAAGAATGTGCACTAAAAAGATGATATATTCATCTAACATGATAAAATAAATGTTTATGTTTCTAACTACCATTTTTTTTAAATAAAAGGTAATTAAAACTAACCTTTAAGACTTTGAAGACTATTGTGTAGGCGAGCTTCATAAGATATGCCACTATCAATAGTTTCTCTAATAAAAGTAATAAAGACAGTAGCTATTCTACTCGAATTTTGCAGTTGTTTTATATCTGTTTCCGTCATAATAACTGCCAGAATTCGATAGGCTTGTAAATGAATTTCATCATCATTGTTTGATGTTTGTGTAAGAATATTAATTAGATCGACTAATTCAAGACTTTTAAGATAAATAGCAAGTTTATTATCCAGCGTAAAATAGAAAAGAATTAGGAGAAGGTCTTGAATAAGAGGCACAGCAGCTCGATCAATATTTATCGGATTTGCTTTGCTGATGGACAGTAAAATATGTTTGATAGTATCTGCGATTTGTTGACATTCATTGTGCGTTTCATTGCTAGTAATGACATTACCAAGATCAATTCGAAATAATATATTGGTCGCATGCAACATGATTTCAGACATAATCGAATTCCATTCAATATATGGTGGCAATCCAGTATTCTGTTCACTTAACCACCTATCGAACCATTTAAGATGAGTACGTCGAATTCGTTCAATTATTTCGAGGCGTCGATTTCCTTCATATCGTAAAACACAGTTTGGATAGTACTTAAGCATAATATGTTCTTCATTTGAAAGCGAATTAGGCTGTTCTTTAGCAATTTTTTCGAACATCTGTGCATATAAAGGAGAACAAATTTGATCCACAGCTCTAGCTAAGTCATCTGGAAGATCTGTATAGACTTGTGCCATCGTTAACAAAGTTTATTCATTAAAAAAAAAATACTTCAACCTGATGAAATCAACACTCAGAGTAACTTATTTTAAAAAGACGCATGTGAAGCTAGTTTGTTTTTTTTCTTTTTCTTGACAGCAAGTTCTTTCTTAACAACATACAGAAAGAAAAGAAAATGCTTGACAATATAAAAGCTGCTACCACATTGAAATTCTTGCCGTGTCATTCACGTTGATTCTTTTACAGAAGTTGTGAAATAACGGCAAGAAAGAAAACTCGTTGATCATTCTTTATGCAGTGATACATATAGAACTTGTCGAAAAATAAGTAACTATTTCTCTGTAAGATAGAAATAAGATTTAATACAAGGAGGAATTAATGTCTGATTCAATTCGGATAGATATAAAGAAAAAAAAACATTGTGATTAATCATACGGAGCTAAAGACAAAGTTTAACTGACTTATTAATTATAATTCAAAGACAGAAGCTTAATGATCAAAGCTATGATATCAATTTTTCAGTTAGTTCTGATTAATTAATTAACGTGCATCTTCAGGCAAGTTTCCCCAAAAGAGGATATAGATGTCGTTGTCGTTGTGAATCTTCTATTCTATTACACACTCAGGAGCAGCCATTCACACAACTACATCCACATCCACAGCGACACTCATCCATACCCAATAGATCAATGTATACTCAATTCCTCCTTCGACGAATGCATATGATTATGTGTTTCGTTCTGTAATGTACAATTGTTTTTTCTCAGTTTTGTAACATCCACACATTACAAAATGAAACACACAATCATATACATTCGTCGCAGAGGGAATTGAGTATATATGGATCTATTAGAACTATATTCAATACACCAAAGAATAAAAATTTATTATTGAAGACAATGATGGTACTTCAAAGCAATATTTATAAATGTTCTTTGTACGGAAAAGAACTCTCAAGTCTCTTCTATCACAGAAAAAATGATCCGCCCCCATAACATTGAAGATAGTGGAGATATTCAAATTTTTTATCGTAGAGCTTCTTACGAATCATCCTGTACAAGGGTGTGGGTGTGGATGTGATCTTCTCTTCTCTCACACCCACACCTCACCCCACGCCCGCCCATACCCACCCACACCCCAAATCTTTCCTGTCAGTTGAAATTCTTGCTGTTTTACCTAGTGTAACTAATATCGAAACCGTACTGATATTATTATGTAACATTGATAGACTTGACTATTTTCTTTATTGCTTATGTTTGTTTTACGTCATAATTTAGTACATAATCGCCGTAAAATGGCTCCTTCACTTCTATAATCGTCTTCATTTGTCACTCCAGATTCATCAACAAAAGACTATCACAATAATGAACGGTTATCACTACATGATAGTGATGATCTTAAATTTCAAATTAATTAATCTGGAAACCTACGATCTGTAGGGAGGGTGTTAGTGTGATCATCCAATGTTTAACTGAAGTTGTGATTCGATAGTCTAAGATTGTACATGGATCAAGTTATGGTGCAAGAATTCTGACGAGAACTGTTTTTTTTGCTGAGAACGAAAAATAAAATAAAATTCCATCCGTCATAGTAAAATAAACTATATGATTAACATTATTACCGAGCGTTGCTCATATTTTACTGAAAGGACTTTTTGATTATAAAGAACATTTTTTTCGGAGAACCATACCGCCAAGAACCAATTCTCAAGGACATTTATTTTGAAGGACATTTTGTCAATGACAAGAAGTCGAGGACATGTTTGCAAGAATATTCTAGCAGTATTCTGCTGACATGCAAAGGTCTCTCTTCGTAATGAAATAAAAACAAAATTGTATCAAACCTATATGACCTTGTGAAAAGAAGAAGACTAATTAAAAAGAACAATAAGAATAGCACTCTTCGTGTATTCCTGACGAAAGATATCAAATTTTAAGCTTTTTTTTTGGAAAAAGAAGAAGAAAAAAATGAATGTACTTTCATTTTTTCTACACGGCATTGAGTAAATTTGCTCCCAATAAATCACATCGTGTATGAGTGACTATCGAAAAATGAAAGCACATCCTTTTTTTCCTTCTTCTTTTTCCAAGAAAAAAGCTTAAAATTTGATATCTTTCGTCAAGGACATACCAAGAATGCTATTCTTAGTATTCTTTTTAATTAGTCTTCTTCTTTTCTCAAGGTTATATAGGTTTGATACGTTTTTGTTGTCATTTCATTACGAAGAGTAGCCTTTTGAATGGCATTTTGACTGTATTTCTGCGTTCTTTTTCTAAGTTTATCAACTAATGGTGCAGCAGCCACATGTACACGATTTTCACCTCAGTTTGATGATATACGTACCTATTAGACAAAAAAGACCGACAAGTTATTATGAATCGTACAGATGTTAGTAAGAAATAGGATTAAAAGCTTTGAATTTTTCGGCGACTATTATTTCTTAAGAAATTAGTTGCTTCTCTCTTGTATATAAAGAATGTGATATACTTAGAAGAAATTATAACTAAAAACAATATTGTGAGAATAAAGAATAGACATGCTACTGTAAGTGCAGACTTGAAACTACCTTCAATCGAACGCCATTTGTTCTTTGAAATTTCTAGTATCAAAATCGTTGTTGGTCTGTGCCTTGTTCTCCTGCTGACAGTTTGCGAATTAAATGCCGCTGAAAAACAAGAAAGAGGTAGGAAAATATATTGGCGATCTAACTAATAGTACACTATTATAAATATTCTCTGTTTTAGAAGCACGAGTTAAACGTGGTGATCCTCCAAAAAACAGTGCAGCACCATCGTGGGTTAAGAATGATGGGTGGCTCCGTACGATCAAATGGAGAGACGACGATAATTGTACATCCTGGACAACGCGGCTCTTTGACACAAAATATGGAAATGGAAATTATGCCAAAGGACCAAACAGTGAATATAACAAAACACAAAAGGATTGTGTTCGTGGTGGTTTAGCTATACAACGTGAATAAATGCCTTCTTAGACTGAAAACAAACAGATCATTTTCTTGAAAGTTTTGCTTTTTTCATTTACGAATAAATGAAAGATTTTAGAATCCTACTATGTTCTATTCCTAACAAAGAAGACGAGATGCTTCTTAAAAATATTTAAGTGAAACCCAGTTAGCCTCATTTTTGTCGTAAAATGTCGTAGTTCCAGGATGTGAGTGTGGCCCTGAGTATGAGTGTCTGGGTGTGGTCGTGCTTTTCTTCACTCACAGCCACATCCACACCCGCTCACTGTTTAATTAATAATATTTGGAGTTTACCAAAGCTTAAACATCTCAAGTTAGATGAATTTTCATCTGATGAATTGCAATTCATTGATATCAAAGTGATTGTATTATCAATTAAACATTTATCAATTAATATATATATACAACTGAACCTTGACTGATCTATTTCATTTATTTGAATATACATCTTCTCTTTGCTATTTTTCGACAATCTATATGTACTGTTTAGATGATGAATATTTACATACCACTGTCCCGTTGATGACTGTACTAAAACTTTAATTGAAAGATAGCCGAATTTATTGCATTTAACTATTATAACTACAAATATTAATTAAGATGGACATGAATGAAAAAAGATTCTTGTATAATATGTACCAAAAATAAAAATATTTCAATTAGAAATGAAAATAATCTTCGATTCTTCAAAAAGAAAAAGAGAAGAAAGTGAAAAAATTACTCGATTCATTTCGAACTTTACTTTGGCTTGAAGAACATCAATGATATGTTCGATATGATTGGAATTTTATCACTCCTCTACCCTTTACCACATGTCTATGAAAAATACTTTTTATAATAATCAAATCTGCTTTCCATCAACTTATTTTAACGACATCAATCTCTCATTTTATAATCGTATAAATACGTTACAATGCAAAGCATTTGTTAAAGAGTCTCCTATTGACTTCACCTATTTGCCAACTAGATTTCCTAACGTTAGACATATTTTTCTTAGCTTTTTTTTTGTCAATATAGATTCTGTGTCACGTACTTCTATATTTCACCATTTGATTTCATTCTATATATCACCATTTTAATGTCCTGATAATTCTGTTTATTCTCTATTACAAATGTTACTCAATCGAGCACCTCACCTTTATTCATTGAGTTTTCATCAAGTATTTTACCCTAAATCGATGAGGGGAGTGTGAGTGTGATATAGTTATAACATGAATACCCACATCCACACCCGCATGGTCTCTGTACAATATAGGAAACGTGAAGGGAGGATTAGAGCATATGAAGAAAGCATATGAAATTAACTCAAAAAATTTTGCATCTAATCATCCAAAAGTCATACAAGACTTCGACTGGATTGTTGATGTAGAAAAAGAACTTGCTGGCAGTGAAGTACAGGGAAAATAATAAAGTCACATGATAGAGAACAATGAGATGGTTAGGGAAGAAAAAGAAAGATTAAAAGCGTGAATAACTTTGCATTGCTCTATAATGTAACGTTATCCCATTCTAAGCAGTACTCTTCAATTTACTTTTTTCCAGTGTTTGCCACCATAGCCAAGAAAAACACAAACATTCTTCACTTCTACTGCAAATAATTGAGGGCGTGAGTGTGAATCGAGATCCTATCTATGACATACATCGACACCCTCACCCACACCCTCAAGTATTTATTTTTTTCCATCATACTTTTTGTTTCGAAATGGCTCGGAGTGGGATTCAGTAGACTTAGCTTTTGAAGTTCTATCGACTAGTATAACTCCGAAGTAAAACGGCGCTCAGCGTGGGTCAGAGCGTAAATTACTAATACCCTCTTCTTCATATTTATTACTTGACATGAATAAGAACTTTTATGTAATAGAAGTCTTACTTTTGAATATTTTGATTTTTGAAATTTTTCTAAAAATTAACTACAATATCACTTGCTAATAGATCAACAAACGCGGCTTTTCAATTTTAGCATAATCTAACTAATATTAATAAAAATTTAATTCATTGTCTTCATAGTATCCTTTTGTTCATTAAGTTAAACAAAAATAATTGACTGTTGTCGTGTAGAAATAACAAAATTACGCAGACGTTTATATATATATATAGAAATCATGTTTTTATGTTCAAGTCAGACCACAATTATTCAAAAGAAAAGAGAAAAAAAATGTTTGCTTAAGATTCAAACAATTTTTGGAATTTTAAAATTTTTTCTAGATATTTATTTTCTTGGATAATATGACAAAATTCTTTTTATTTTGAACTTGTCATAGGTATCTTATTTTTCTTTCTTGTCGAAAGAAATTTGTTTGGATTTCGAGCTCGGAAAGATGCTTAAATGAAAAATAAAAATAGATAAAACAATATTCAGCAACGTACGTACATCTATATTTTATAATTAAAACTTTCGACAAAAAACACAACACTGATATATGTTTAATACATATTTACAATAATGAAGTCATATTATTATTTTTCAATAGGAACTATCGATGATACATTAGTATGATTTAGTTTTTGTTTCATCGACACTAATTTTACTTGAGGATTTTTTTGTGGTTTTTCTATCTCAATAATTCCATGTGCAACATTATCTAAACCACGAACTTGCTCTAATCGACTTATACGTATACCAATTGTAAAATGCATTGGTAATAAAATTGCTGTCGTACATGCAATTGAATACACTGTAATTATTAATATTCCAAACATTTGATATCCTAATTGAATAGGATTACCATAGAAGGCACCATTGTTACCACCACTGTTAACATCAGTTTGACAAAATAATCCAGTCATTATAGTTCCTATAAAACCACCTAAACCATGACAACTAAATACATCGAGAGTATCATCAATATGAAAAAAACGTTTTTTTCCAGCTAAAAACAAATAGATTACAAAACCACCAATTAAACCAACTAAAAGCGCATAAACTGGTTGAATATAACCAGCACATGGTGTTATTACAACAAGTCCAACAACAGCTGCTGAACAAACACCAGGAATAGATATATTAATATTATTTTGACCTCTCGATTTACTACGTGTAATATCGAGAATAATCCAAATAATCATACTTGATCCTGCAGCTATATTAGTATTTACAATAGCTAAAGCAGCAATACCTTTAAAAGAAACATATCAGTTGTATAAACAGTAGAGTTTCTCATGAAGATTTTCTAAAAACAAACAATACTTACCAGTTGCAGCAAGTGCTGATCCTCCATTAAACCCCATCCACCCAACCCAAAGGAGGCCAGTACCTATAACAGTATATGAAAGATTACTCTGACCAGCATTGACTACATCTGGATCAAAGTAAGCACGAGATCCCAATATCAACGCAGCAACTAATCCTGATACTCCACTTGATACATGAACAACTAAACCTCCAGCAAAATCCATAACACCCATTCGATGAAGCCAACCTTGATTAGAAAAAAATCCATCTTGCTTGTGGATCATAGCAAAATGTTGCCCAAAGAAAAACAAAAATCATATATGGAATAAGTTTCATTCGACCTACAACAGCACCACTAATTAAAGCTGGTGTAATTACTGCAAATGAACTTTGAAAAGCACTAAATGCTAATGATGGTATTTCTATTGGATTAAAATCGTCAGTATTTTCACCATATAAAGTAATAAGACCTGTTTTAAGCCCTATAGCATATTCAAATGAACCAAATACTGAATTTCCAGGACCAAAAGTAAATGAATAACCAAATAAACACCATTGCATAGGAATAATAGCCATACAAACAAATGATAAAAATAACTGATTAAGAAAATTTCTATTTTCAACTAAACCACCATAAAAACAAGCTAAAGCAGGCGTCATCATATATACTAAACCAGTAGATGTCATAACCTAAATATAGATATAAACTTTTATTTGAAAAATAATCGTATATTACCCATGCAGTATCTCCGTGGTGATGCGTAAAATTATTCATTTTCTTTTCAAATGATATATGCTTGGACACATAAGAATTTATTTTTCTGTTTCTTTTTTTTTCTTTTATGCTTACGGTAAAGATTCATCGAGAAAAAGAATCTTCTTTCAACTTCTTAGAATTTATTTTTATATATTATATAAGAATAACTACATTTATAATCGTAAAACATTAAGCTACATATCCTTTTACACGAAATTTTAATAAATCTATATTCGCTTATACATGTTTAATCAGTCTTATATTGGATAAGTACCTTAGGTGACGAGATTTTGAAGAAAAATAAATAAATAGAAACAAACTATTGAAACATTTATTTTGTTGAGTTATCAAAACAATAACCTTCTTTATTTACAAGCATACACTGAATTAGATGTTTCGGGGTCAAAATTAAAGACAATAGCCTATGAAGGTCTTTATAACTTTATCAGAAAAAATTTTTATTTCACAAACATGTCGTATTCAGGAAAATAGAAATTTTAATTTGGATTATCAAATTAGAAAATCGTTGATACATTGATATAAAATATTTGTTTTGTTTTTGGGAACTCGAATTCGATTGCATGATATGATTATTTTCTGCAAAATAAAACAATTCGTTACAACTTTCTATATTCGACAATAGTGTTCTCTTTTACATGATAACTACTCGACTTGTGATCTTAATACTACTCACAAATAACAAAGCATTATATTAATTTTAGAAAATAAAAAAATCTATGTGAAAATTTATGACATCTAAACGAATATATGTTTATTTATTCGGAAAAAAACCTATCTTGTTCTTGCTGATTTCTATTACACCGCCATCAGATTTCCATGATGGGCAGTTCTTCTGCAAGACCGCATAGAACAAGTATTATATGCTTAGTCGAACCTTTAAATTGTGTAATGAACGAATCAAGAACAGAAGACTTTTTATTATAGAACGATAGATCTAAACCAATGAATTACATTGATTTATGAATGAATTAAATACAACTTTATTTGGATAAGTCAAATTGTAATAAAACTTCAACGATATATAAGCCGATCTATACAATCAAGGATAAATTTAATCATCAATTATTAATTTATCTTTATATTACTTTAAAAAAGATAAAGATTAAAAGAATTTTGATATAAAAAAAACCTCACAAATGGATAAAATCTTGATTCTTATTTTTTTAAAAATTATTTGTCTTTCAAAGAAAAAGAAAAAAAGAACAAACTAGATGCATTAACAAGAATAATCTGTTCCTAAAAATGAAAAGTAACTATAATTCAGTGTAATACCTAATTATATCTCATTCGTTATCAAATAAATGTACAGGTCATTGCTATTTATTTTCTAATGAAAAAAATGTTTCTTGTTATTTTATTAAAATTTAGTTTGATTTTAGCAAATTTTTTTTTAAGATGTAAAACATTTATTAAGTCGGCTGACTGCATGAAGTGCAGGCAGCGCCAATTTATTGCTTTTCACTCGGTTAGTTGCCATGGTAAATTCTCCTTCTCAACACATGAGTCACACTTCAAGTCAGTCACTCGTTCTCAGCTTCCAAGCATAATTTTTAGTCGAAAAAAAGCTCGGCGAGATCGTCAGAACGTGACGAGTGCACATCTGAAATCCGTTTTTCGAAATTTGGTACCGTTCAGGAGATACAAAAATGCCGAAAATGATAATTAACAGCTGATACTTTCCTTATGTGGCAATAACTGATTCAGATTCATTATCTTTCACTAGCCAGCTGAGCGAAGATATGTGAACGCGAATAAAAATAAAATTCATTATGACTTCCTCTACGGTATTCTATGATTTAAAAATAGCAGATATCGTCTATAATGATATTCTGATATTTTTCGGGTTCGTGCAGTCAGCCGACATTCCATCCAGCGCGGAACGCTGAATGGCAGTCTAGTTTTTGTATCTTCATCTTTTTTTTTCCAAATAAAGATTATTTATCTGTGAATTTTTCTTATTAAAATAAGAATAAATTTTGAACTATAATATGCAAACTAATAAATGAAACTCATTTCTTATATTATTCTTCTTTGACTATAATATGACGACAGTCGAGCCTTAAAAAAAATTTCTATTCAACAAAACAAATATTCTATGATCTTGATTATAGATACTAACGATTCCTATTCATTTATTCGAGACATCTTTTAATTTTCAATAGCGGCATTAAAGAAATAGAAATAACTATTTTTATTCACAGTAAGATTTTTGACACACTATCAAACAACTTCATTATATTATGCTTGAATTACTTAGCAGGATTATAATTTATTTAAACATGAATATCCATGTACAAAAAGAAAAAATCATAGACTGAAAAAGCAAGAAACTTGAACAAATACAGATATATTCATAATTGATAATACATGTACATAAAAGATCAATCAAAGAATGTAGAATTTAGAGTTATTCGATAAATACAATATATAGGGCTTAGAAATATTCATTTTACATCATATAGATGTTAAGAGTCAGAAGATGGAGAAAAACATATGTGGTAGAAGGGGAAAATGGTAGAGAGAGAAAAAAGTAATAAATTACAGATATATTCGTAGTGGACAATGTTTGTACATAAGAAATCAACCAAAATATAGAAATTAGAAATATAGAAGGAGCAAAAAACATAGAAATTGGAGATATTCTTTTTCATAACATAGATGTCAAGAGTCAAATGATAGAGAAAAAATAATAAATCCATTACAGATATATTCATAAGAAATTAATCAAAAAAATAGAGATTAAAGTTATAGGTGGAAGTGTAGATATCAGAAATATTCTGTTTTTACATAATATAGGCGTCAAGAGTCAGATGGTGAACCAAAAATAACTTTTTATTATTAATTAATTAGATATATATTCGCAGTTGGCAACATATATAAGAAATTAATCAAAAATATAGCGATGAAAGTTATAGAAATTGAAGTTGTAAGAGAAAGTATAGACATTAGTATAGATATCAAGAATTAGATAGAATCCATATCGTAAATACCGGAGCGTTTTTAGCGGTAAACCGCGGTATTTATCAAAACCGGCGGTAAACCGGAGATTTTTCTGAGCATTTTTATGACATGGGAAGATAGAAGAAAAAAACGTTTAAAATAGCCAAATCGATGATTCAAAGCAATGAAATGTCAAGGTTTATTGGCGATCCGGTAAACCGGTTCATTTTAGCGGTAAACCGCGATAAATCTTAGTGACGGGAGCCGGTAACCGGACCAATAAAATCGCGGTTAACCGCCGGTTTTCATCCGGTTTTTATCACATGGGAAGAGTAGAAAAGTACAGATATATTTGTAGTTAACTCTATGTATCTATAACACAAATTCTATAATAAAAAGCCTCTTTTTTTATATTTGTATATATAATGTTAGTATATCTTTTTGTTCCTACTTTTTCTATTACCTTTATGTTATTCTTTTATTTTATTGCGGTAAAAGGTTAATAATATTCTTCGAAGGTTTTTTATGTACTAGAATTTTGCTTAGGTTATCTGTAAGACGATGCACATATGTTACTGGAATATCATCTAAAGGTGTTTCTGCAAAAACTTAATGCTAGATTTGATGAAATTTTGCACCGAATTGAGCCGGTGTGGGTGTGTGGGGTGTGGGGTTGGAGGTGTGAATGGGAATCTTCAACAACAGAAGACACTCACACCCACAGCCACATACCACACACTCACACTCCCACATCCACACCCACACCCGCACTCACCCACACCCCACCTCACACCTATGTGGAAGATCCCAAAATAATATTAAAACAAGGTAAACATCTACCAAGGGTCGCTTTTCGACTGCTTCGTGATCCACAATATTTCCCGAATAAGATCACTAGGTGACTTAGACACATGAAAAGACATTTTGTGTGGAAATTAGAGTGGGACTTTATTATTGGATGGGAATGCTGCGATGGTATCGAAGGAGTATGTTTATGACTTGAGAAAAAGTATGAATAAACCGTTGAGCACATCAAATAAGTACAAAATTTATTCATGATTTATACAAGAAGGGTGTGGGTGTGGGTGTGGGTGTGGG